CTCGCGGAGGCAAGTGGCCCAGCCCCCCTCGAGGCATGAAGAAATCACGACGGAAGGCGTTACGCTGTGTTCGGCCTCTGGGGTCCCCTACACGGCCCCGGGACCGTCAAAAAAATGCTGAGAAAGAAAATCCGTTCCTGGGAAGGGGTCCAAACCTCTGGGGGTCGAAGTTGTGAAAAAATCATGACGCCGGGGGTCTGGGTGGAAGGGAATGGAACACCCGCAAACGACGCGTGGCAAAGCACGTGATAACAGGGATCGCATGGACACTATTTCGTCGGCGGGTAGGCAGAGTCACTGCGCTTGGGAGGGAGCAAAACGGGGCTGCCGTTAAGCGAAACGTGCCACCATGCAGCATGGATGCGCACATACGGAACGAAACAGTAAGATAATGGCATGGAGAGGATGGAGGCGAGAGTGGAGATGGTGATGAGGCCCAGGATGGCTACAGCGAGTAACAAGCGACATGGCGATGGCAATGGTGATAGCGAGCACTACGACGGTGAATTATAAAGTGGCGATGGCGATGACAGTGGAAACGTCGATGGGGGCTAAATTGGCAGTGCATCTGGAAACTCTGATGGTCATGCACGTGGTGATCCTTCTGACGACAAACAAACCTCGGGCATGCGAAACAAATAGGAAGATGCAGATGGCGATGCCACTCAGAACAAAGCGACGCCGCATACAGTTGGCGATTGAAACCCTGAACCCGCAAATATTGCCATCTCTTGGGGAAACAATTGTTACGTCCGCCGGCATCCGCGGGCGTGCCGCTGGCGGAGGTCGCCTCGTTTTACTTCTGCTGCCTTCCGCCGCCTTCCGCCGAGGACGAGATGGCAACTCATTTAATCCTCGAAGCCGAGGCCAGTTCTGGAACGCCTCATATGGAGATGGGAATGGGGCTGGAGCTGTATGAGCTCTATACATCCGCCAACTCGACATTTTCCAATCTCGGGGCCCTGGACCTTTCGAGCTTGGCCGAGGACCGTTGCTGCCATCCTGGGCCATCTCAGTTGACGGCTCCTAGGCCCGAAAACTGCCTCCAGAGGCAGAAGATGCAGGACAAACCAAGGCTCAAACTTGTTTCTGACTTCTGGAGGCGTGCTGGGGTCACACCGGGGCCACCCCTGCAATGATCCCGAGGCACAAGCGCACTGTCCAGAGTGCCTGAACACATCCATATCCACTGCCTCCAGAGGTCCAGGGATGACCTGCTCCCGAGACGTTGAATTTGGACCGTTCCGGGAAACCCCTATCCCCCATCCCCCCCACACACACACGCAGCAGCATCAGCAACAACAACAACAACAACAAGAACAATAACAAGAACAACAACAACAACAACAACAACAACAACAACAACAACAACAACAACAACAACAACAACAACTATCATTATAACACTGTTCGCTCTGACTTGCCCGTGTGTCATTCCAAACAAGTTCCCCAAACCCTCGATACCCGCCCTTTTTGTCATCGATCACACCCCCATTGGGGAGATTATTTCTCTTTGCGGGGGGCGGCGGGATTAGACAGGCGGGCAAACCTGAACGGGCGGACAACCCATCGTGGGCGTACATGTGCCCGCCAATGGAATTGGTATGGGCCCTGCAATAAAAGAGGAGTGGGAGAACGAGGGAGAGTGGGAGGAAGGGAGGGGGAGGGACGAAGGAAGAGGGAAAACGCCAAGAGAGGAGGAGCGAAGAGGGGAGCGGTTGACTAGAGGCAGGGAGAGAGAGAGAGAGAGGGATATATAAAAAAACGATAAGAGAGGTAGAGAAAGAGAGAGAGAGAGGGGAGAGAGAGAGAGAGAGAGAGAGAGAAAGCGATAACGAAGAAGGGAGGAGGCAGGAGAGGGGAGGGAGAAGGGAGGAGGGAGAGGATGGAGAGGGGATAGGGCAGAGAGGCATAAGGATGAGGGAAGAGAGTAGGGAGAGGGAAGGGAGGAGAGGAGGGAGGAGGGAGGAGGAACAGGAAGGTAAGAGCGTGAACGTTCGACGCAGTCCTAGGCGAAAGCGCCGTTCCTGAAGGAAGTCTCGGGCGGGAGCCCACGACGGGCGGGCGATCCCCTGACGGGCGGGTCGGGCGGGTGGGACATGCAAGCGGGATGCCTGAGTATGGCGAGAGCGCGAATACTAAGTAAATTGTAGCGGCGTCCTTGGCGCAACGTGTTTCCTGAGCGTCGCAAGCGCGATTTCTGAATACATTGCATGGAAGTCACAGGCGAGAGCGCAATTCCTGAACAACATGTGAAAAGGGTTCTCTGGCGGGAGCGGGGGTCTTGATTCAATAGCGAAGAAGTCTTGACTCAAGCGCGAGGAAGTCTCAAGCGGGAGCGCCGTTCCTGAGCAAACTGTGAGGAAGTCTCAGATGGGAGCGGGGGTCCTAACTAAATTGCGAGGAAGTCACAGGCGGGAGCACCGATCTTGAGTAAATTGTAAGGAAGTCTCAGGAGCGGGGTCCTGAGCAAATTCGGAGGAGGTCTCAGGCGGGAGCCGTTGTTGTTGTGATCCGGGGGGCCAGGGGCACAGTTTGAGCACGAAGACTTTGCCTGCCAAATAACCGGGTGCGAGCGTCGAGGGGCACACTTTGATTGAAAAAGCCGCATGCACCGGTGAGGGGGAGATCAGTACTAATTATTCTTCAGTCATGAATTCAACAACGACAGCCAACAACAGCAACAGCGGCAGCAGCAACACCAACAACAACCACAACACCAACAATATGAATATGTATCATTTTTTTGTTTGCGGCCGCCCTGCGAGAGCGACTGGCACGAGACACGAGCTGTACAAGCACAGCCGGACACGCTGGGAGCAGCAGACACAACGCAGGCTGCACCGGCAGGGCGGGCAGGGCGGGCGAAAGCCGAAGCTCGCCGCGGCCACACTTCCTCAGCCACACGTCCGGGAGCAGCGTACAAAGTGCGGAAGAGCTGGGGTGAAGAAGTGATGTAACAAAGAAAGCTCAAAGGCGAAGGCACGCACCAACGAATAGCGTGAGAACACAACGCCGTGAGACCGACAGTGCACGACCATGGAGGCGGTGACTAACGAAGACAAAATGGCGAACTGAGACTAAAACGTGGCGGCCGCACCAAAACAAGAGGCCTGGCGCGGCAGACGGGAACCGCCACCAACAACAATCATTCTAAGACTGTTCGCTCTGACTTGCCTGTGTGTCATTCAAAACGAGTTCCCCACACCCTCGATACCCGCCCTTTTTGTCTTCGGTCACACCCCTTTTGGGGGGGATTATTTCTCTTTGCGAGGGGCGGCGGGCTTAGACGGGCGGGCAAACCTGAATGGGCGGACAATCCTTCGTGGGCGTACATGTGCCCGCCATTGGAATTGGTGTGGGCCCTGCAATAAAAGAGGAGGGGGAGAACGAGGGAGAGGGACGAAGGAAGAGAGAACACGCAAGGAGAGAAGGAGCGAAAAGGGGGGCGGTTGACTAGAGGCAGAGAGAGAGAGAGAAAGAGAGAGGCAGAGAGAGAGAGAGAGAAAAAAAAAACGATACAAGGACAAGAAATCTAAGAGAGGTAGAGAAAAAGAGAGAAGGAGCGAGAAGGGAGAGAGAGAGAGAGAGAGAGAGATCGAGAAAGAGGGAAGGAGGAGGCAGGAGAGGGGAGGGAGAAGGGAGGAGGATGAGGAGGGAGAAGGGATAGGGCAGAGAGGCATAAGGATGAGGGAAGAGAGGAGGGAGAGAGAAGGGAGGAAAGGAGGGAGGAGGTAGGAGGGAGGGAGGAGGTAGGAGGGAGGAAGGAGGAGGAGCGAAAGCGCCGATCCTGGAGGAAGTCTCGGGCGGGAGCCCACGACAGGCGGGCGATCCCCTGACGGGCGGGTCGGGCGGTTGGGACATTCAAGCGGGATGCCTGAGTATGGTGAGGTATGGTGAGAGGGCGAATACTAAGTAAATTGTAGCGGCGTCCGTGGCGCAGCGTGTTTCCTGAGCGTCGAAAGCGCGATGTCTGAATACATTGCATGGAAGTCACAGGCGAGAGCGCAATTCCTGAATAAAACGTGAAGGGCTCTCTGGCGGGAGCGGGGGTCTTGATTCAATAGCGAGGAAGTCTTGACTCAATCGCGAAGAATTCTCAAGCGGGAGCGCCGTTCCTGAGTAAACTGTGAGGAAGTCTCAGTTGAGAGCGGGGGTCCTGACTAAACCCCACCAGCACTCTGGGCGTAGGTGGTTTAGAGAGTGTCTTCTTCCACCCCTCCTTCTTCCCCTTCGGGGAGGGGTTTACCCCTCCCCCTAACCCCCTCCCCTGGACCTGGACGGGGCGTTTCGCGAGCGGTCAGAGGGTACTGTTTCGCCCAAGTTGGCTCCAAGAGCGCTTCGAAAAGCCTAAGATGACCTCCAATATTGATCAAGATAGCCTAAGATACCTCAAGATGGCTCCGAAGATGCTCCAAGAGGCTCCAAGACCGTCCCAAGACGGCTCCAGGAGGCCAAATAGCTTTCCAAGGAGGCCTCCAAGAGGCAAGAATCCTTTGCACACCTAGGGAAAACACATGATTGTTGCTGTCTCGCCGTTTCGCTTCCGATGGCCATCCCAGGCCTCAAGATGGCTCCAAAATGGCTCAAGAAAGCCCCAAGAGGGGCCCAAGAGAGCCGCAAGACGGCCCCAAGAGCGCCCAAGAGCGCTCCCAGAGCGCTCCAAGAGTGGTCCAAGAGGCGATGTTAGAGGCTCCCGAGGGGCGGTGCTAATAACCCCCCCCTCACTTTTTTGATCGATCTCCTCCAAGATGGCCCCAAGAGCGCCCCCAAGGCTCTTAAGAGCGCCCCATGGCCCCAAGAGGCGCCCAGGAGGCCCCAAGAGACGCCCCAAAGGCTTCCATGAAGCTCCCAAGAGACGCCCAAACGGCCCCAAGAGGCCCCCCCTGAGGCACGGAACAAGCTCCCGGGATCGCCAAGAAGCCCCCAAGACGGCCCAAGAGGCCCCCAAACTCAAAATCCCACCAGCCATCTGGGCGTAGGTGGTTTAAAGAGTTTCC